TTCCCAACCTATGGGTCAGGACCCAAACATAGATTTAGGGTTGCCAACCCTTCAGGATAGTCCCAGAATTGACCTGGGGAAGGGAATGGAGTTCAGGGTCAGGGAGGGGCTATGGGGTGCAGGAGAGCATTCTGCCCAGGGGAGAGATAATAGGGGGTGCAGGATGTGGGAGTGAGTTGTGACCTGGTGCAGGGGGGTTGGATGGTGACCTAGGGGAGGGAGGTGGGGTGCAGGAGGGACAGGGGTGCCAGAGGCAGGCTCTGGCTGGGAGGCACTTATCTAAGTGTCTCCTGGCCAACAGCCCCTGGCCAACAGCCCAGCAGCACCCCCCCAAGGCAGGCTGGGCTACCTGTCTGCTGCAGTCCCACATCACTCAAAACTGCAGCTGCTCCCTCCATGTGGCTCTCAGATCTGGGGCACGTCTGCACTGCACGCTTAATTTGGAAATTGTAATAAGCCGTCCATTATTTTGAAATTATTTCAAAATAACAGAACTGCTGTGCGGATGCTCACATTTTTATTTCAAAGTAATGGCCGTTACTCCAAAATGATGCTGTTGTGTAGACATACCCTGGGAGAGGAAAGAGGTGTATATTACCTCCATTCCCAAGGCCAGTCTTTCAACTCCTATTGGCTGGTTGTGTCTGGCCAATAGGAGCTGAGGATTGGGCTGGGGGTGGGGAGATCACCCAAGGCCTCTCCCCCCAGAGTAGAGACTCACACAGTGCAGCCCTGTTTTTAAAACAGCAGCTGATGTGTGCCTGAGATCTCAGCAGGGGGGCCTGGAGGCCAGATCTGGTGGCTTGGCCCACAAGAGGTATCTTGCCCACCCCTGATTTAGTCGTATGAAGTGGAAATCCATCAACTCCATGAAGAAACTTGCACAGATACAAAGAGACATCATCTTCCTCTCCAAGTGCAAACAGATGGACATCATCTCCAACGGACTGATCCAAAAGTTAGATAATGAAATTGACTGAATAGTGACCCTGTGAAGATATCAGCCTCTCCCTGCCAAACTTCTTTGTGTGCATGTAGATTGTAAAATATGCACTACAGAGTTCAATTTTTTTGTATTTTGTTTTGGTCCTAGTAATGGTAATTTAAGTGTGGGGTTAGGAAGGTAACTGACCTGCTATATAAATTGTTGATTCCTTTTCTTGATTGAGAAAGGTGTTCCTGATACAACAAGACAAGCTTTGGTTTGCTTGTTCTCTCATAATAATAGAGCTTTCAGTTCTAAACAAATCGTTATCCACTTGAGATTTTGCTTCTGACAGTGATGTTAAAAGGTGCCCGATGTGATCTCTCCATAGCACCTCAGGCTCTGGGTACCAACCAGCTGACTGACAAACTACCCGGATTCCTCCATCCTGGTGACCCTGAACAGAGATGAGAGGACTGGAGCCTAAAACTACAGGAAAACAACATAAACACGTGTCAATTCCATGAGTGAAGTTACAAACACAAGGGATGGGGACTAGATTGTGGCTCCCTTGTTCTCATTTGAGATCACTTACTCATGCAGATGGAACAAATGAAAATCAGAATCTCTGTATTCCTAATACTTAGACAGGGGAAAACAGGTCAACAAGTATTTATAATGATTTCACTGAATCACAAGAGTACCTGAGTGTTGAAACCCGACCACTTCATTTAAACACTTCTGATGGCCAGCGTACTGGATGGATGTTTTTCTTTTTCTTTTGTTTAAACAAAACTACCTGGCCCCTCAGCGAAACTGTCAGAGCAGAAGGGGACCAGTGCTCAGCTATAAATAGGAGTGATAAATACACAACTCATCCATTACCATCGTATGGCCTCAGCCAATCAGAAAACTGTAGCTGATTTTGACTGCACCCCTAAATTACAACCAGTCGTGACCAGAGCAGAAGACCATATAAACTTGGCAATGTCACCTGGGCTATGCATCCACAAAATGACAGCAGAGAAACTGGAAGACCTTCTTTGTTCAGAAGTCCTTAACCTCCTAACAAAGCACTCCTCCTTGTGATGTCAATTAAGAATTTATTTTGGCCCAGGAAGACTCCTGGCCATTCTGAAAATGTCTGTAACCAAACACTGGGAAAGTTGTCTGCATATTATGGAAAGGATTTGAATGTGGTTGTAACATGGTGTGTTACTCTAAAACAATTCACAAGTTGCTAGGTCATAGTTGTTGCAGTAGCAAGGAATAAAAACTGCAGACGATACTAATATAATACAGACAGGAGCTACTGACCTGCTACCTTCAGTTCCAACAGGGCTTCTTCGTACAAAGTACCATCTCGAACAAAACAGTGATACTGTCCTCTATCCATTGGTCTGATATTAAGAATCCGCAAAGACACATTGCCCTCTGCGAGACCAGCTTTCAAAAACTCTGTCCTTCCCTGATAGTCGGGCATCTGCTGCTCATATTCATCCTTCCCATCCTGATACAGGTGCACAAAGGAAAAGAACTCCGACCGGAACCATCTCACCTCCATGTTCTCAGCGCTCATCCTGGGGGACAGGTGACAGGGTAACTGAATGGCCTGACCCACAGTGGCCGTGACAGGGTGAGCAGGACCCAGCACTGTGAACTCGGCTGTGAAACACATCAAATCAAAAAGAGAACAAGCTCAGAGGAGAAAAAAATATTAACGACTGATTCAATAGCTTCACGTTTTCCAAAAATTCAGCCTGGGATAGAGGCCTGCAACTCAAATTTTCAACATGAAAATTTGAAATTTAGCAAAACAAGCAACTGGAAAAGTCATTTGTAGTAGAAAGTGACCATCCAGCTCAGGTGTGGGGGTATCAAATCAAAAAGAGAACAAGCTCAGAGGAGAAAAAAATATTAACGACTGATTCAATAGCTTCACGTTTTCCAAAAATTCAGCCTGGGATAGAGGCCTGCAACTCAAATTTTCAACATGAAAATTTGAAATTTAGCAAAACAAGCAACTGGAAAAGTCATTTGTAGTAGAAAGTGACCATCCAGCTCAGGTGTGGGGGTCACGGATAACTCCCTGTACATCAGTGGTCACCAACCAGTCAATCGAGATCTACCGGTGGATCTTGGAGCCTCTGACAGGGGATCCTGACTGGTCTGGCCAAGAGGC